ACTGTTGGATCGTTATTTTCAATTTTTTGTGCCTTGGAAATTTAAATATGCATTATGTTGGATTATTTATAGCGAAACGACTTTGATTGCATTAAGAGCAATCTTAGTTCGCGTTCAGTCGAAAGTTGTAAGTGATGGTGTTCTGCAAGAAAGCATGAAGGTAGCAGAAAAATATCATAAAAACGACGAATCTGTAGTCATAGTGCAGGCTGCTTCTGCACTTCTTGGTGAACTTGCTCTGAAAATGAATCAAATGTCAAATATTGTTAATTTAAGTACGTGTTTCACCAGCGTTTTTTGACATAACTTTGATTATTTATCCGATCAACTTTCAAAGTAAATGAAATAATATGAATCTGGATACTCTCTGATATTCTTCAGTTTCAGGCGAGATTTGTCGTTGTTATGCCGTAATTGTAACCTTGCAATATGTCTCTTGTACTGATCCACATAAAGTACTAGAAGTGTATGGTATTGAAAAACTACGGTCTGCATTTATCAGTGCAATGCAATGTGACAAACCAGAAATTGCGTCGTCTGCTATACGATCTGCAACTTCCATACTTTTGTGGTAGGATTAATTTATAAATATGAAAGTAAAGAACTTGGCGTACGTATCCTTTTTATAAATGATCTCAATTTAAAATGCCTGGCTGAATTACACAGTTCATTTTGACAACTTTTTTTTTGTTCTATGATTTTTTTTTTTTTTTTTTTTTGTATGACTGACATCTCACTACAAAGAAAAACTTTCTGATATTTATATCTTGGAGTATTTGTTGAATTATATTCACCATCTCGTATGCGGTAATTGAATATGTCAAGTTTGATTTGGTATTGGAAGTTATGATTATCAGATTTTATTTGCAGTTTTACATTAATTTTTGTCATTCATGCCAATATAATTTTTTGGAGGCTTCTGCTATCTTTAATGCTTTGTCGATTCAATTGCTAAAGTCTTGTAGTTCCTTGCTGAATTGCCATTTCAGTCAGAGAACAATGGATGTGCCTCTGCTGTCATCAATTGTGCGTTCGACAAATCATCCTGCTAATGAAGTGAAATGTGTAGCAGCTTTGGGTATTCACCACATTGCTTCAAGAAAACTCTCCATAAATGAGATGAAGGTTGCTATTTAATTCTTAATTTCAAATAGTTTTTTCTCCAAACATGTCTTTGAAGCTGTGTTTCTTAATTCGATTTTTCATCTTTAGGTTATTGTTCCAATGATGTTAAATGGAATAAAAGAAAAAAACAGCGCGGTTCGTGCAGCATGTGAGCAAGCACTTATCGCGCTCTTCAAGCTCAGGCGTGAGAATCCTAGATATGATGATTACTTATCTACAGTTGAGGTAAGCAAAGTTTCTTTGTCTTCAGTTACTGTTGTAGTTTATTTAAAGAATTGGTGACTGTGTTCCAAACTGATTGGCTGTTTTGCTGAGAATCATTTTCATTTTTTTTATATTATGCTGTTTGCATTATTTTAGTCGTTTTTTTTTTTTTTTTTTGTTACCTGATCTGTTTTTTTTTTCTTTGACTTTTAATATGTAAAGATTTTTCAGGGAGCAGCAAAAGATGTGCTTGCTGATGCTTACAAGGCATTACAAAGGGTTCTAAAACAATCAGATCCAGGAGTAGAACCATTATCGGATATCATAAATGTACCATGATAGATACATAACTTTGTTTCTTGTTGTTTCTCGTTGAATTGTTTTTTATTACTTCAGAAGGTCGAGAATTTGCGTTACATTTAGCCTCCATCTGTTATTGTTCATTGGCATAGCTATTCCTCATTTGGTTAATAAATAAGGAATAATAAATATGAAATACTATAAACAGTATCAAAAATTTGCATTACATATGTTTTGCTTATAATTCAGTTAAAGAAGTTTCTCACTCTGCGTTCATATTGTCTAATTCCTCAATCTTTTCTTGGAGATGAACCATAATAAACTGCACCTTCCATTTTATTTATCTTTGCTACTTCCTGCAAAACCGGAATTCTAAATCGCGACTTCGCTACAAAATGTTGTGAAGCATTTTATGTCTAATGTTGCAGTGCATTATTATCTAAAATACAAATCTGTTTTATCACTTGCTAACAAATTTGATAAAACTGGATTAAACTTGAGCAAGGAAATAGATGCTAAAATGATTTGATGACCAAATTTTATAAAAGGTGAGTTAGTCCCACTTACCATGACATTTTGCGCAGTGTACAGACCGAATGATGGGGAAAGCTCGCTCTATATTCAAATAACACGTAAGTGTTAATGAACCTATCTCTTTCTATAGTTGTCAGTGGTAAAAAATCGGACATTTCATAAACTACGGACTGGTAGATCATGTTTTGGATGAAATGTGTTGCTACAAATTTTCGAAGTCTTAGCTTGGCTAGAGTAAAAGCGCTTAGTTTCTAAATTAGGAGAGGAAAAGCTGCCAAAACTTGTGGAAGTTACAAGGTATGGTATTTCCGGGTGTTATTACTGTCATTACAGCATACTTGAAAGGAGAAGGTAGATGTCAGACGGACGTTAGGAGGATTTTGTCCAACAGCGATGAAAAGAGAAAAGCGATAAAAACGAAAACGAGGAAAACCACTGATTTTCCTCGAGAAACTGTTAGTGGGCTATTATTTCCCGAAGACCATAGTTATATGTCTCTTAGATTAAGTTGTTTTTGAAATATCAGGAATATATGAAAAAGGATACATGGAAAATACTAAATTAAACTTCATTTTTCTGAACTTTTCAAAACCTAATAGTCTACAGTTTGTATAGCACTGGGAATCCATTGTTAGTCAATCGTAAGGAATCTTTCAGTGAACCGTCAGGTATGAACTTGAACATAGTAAATTTTGAAGCTGAAAAGAATTTGCTCGATTTTTCCAAAAAAACAGAAGATGGAGTCATTTTGGAATAACTTCAGAATTGAAACCATTTCTTTGTAATATTTTATGACTTGATCTATTCCTAAATAAGATCGAGAATTTCTTGTCTAATACCTAGTAAAGCCAGTGGTTTATTCAATTATCAGTCAAGATTATATCTGTCAAGCGATTGTTCATTATCCTCTGAAATATCACTTCATTTTAATGAAACTAATTTCACTTTTTTTAAATAAAGAAGAATTAATTCTTCGACGACTGCAAGATGAATTCGTTGGGAATTACATTGTTTCTTTCCTCCGTACTAATGTGGTAAATGTTCCTTCTTCCGTCCACATTCATTTATTTCTTCGTCTAAATCAGTAAAAGCGGTATTCTCCCGATTTGCTGAACAATGAGTGTGAATCTGAGCAACAGCGTTAACAAATTATGTAAGATATTTTATAGCCTGAAAATTCCTTTCAAGCCTTGGCTTGTTTTACATTTCAAATTCTTTTTGATTAAAATATGGTTGATTTGGAATTAATATGTTTCTAAAAGTCGATTGCACTAGTTCTGATTCAAATTTCATGTTAACTATGGAGGTGAAATTTCCAAACGTATTCTGGAAAGGGAGCTTCCGGTCTTTTGAAGGGAGTATCTCTCTACGATTACTCCATATTTTCAATCTTTTCGATCAGATCTTTCCCATTGAATATCTAAAGTCATTAAACGTTTGAATCGGGAAATAATTGAATTTAAACCAAAAACTGATACATATTACTGCCTTACTGCTATCTTCTTTGTCATTCCTTCCTTCCACTCTGCAAGCAGTCATGCAAAATGTCATCTAATCACGAATCGCACACCTTGCAAGTCTGAATAGCTCTTCTCTTCTCTCCCTGCAGTTCACCGTCCTGCTCTAATGCTGTCCTGCAGTCTAATCGCTTCTGCAGTATACAATCAGTTGATCATATTCCAGTAACCTAAGATCCTATATGACGTCATAAAATTCGTGGCGGCGTTGCTGGCTGACCCTGTGGCCTAATGGACAAGGCATCTGACTTCTAATCAGGGGATTGCAGGTTCGAGTCCTGCCAGGGTCGTTCGACATCACTAAGTTACCGTGGCGGCATCGCCCCATTTTGAGAGTTTAGTAGCATTAGAAAAGTAAAGGATTTCGTGGAAATGCTCAGCTTTGTTTTCTAAGAAAAAATGAATAAATTTGAGCTGTTTCTCAGTCATGAAACACTCATTAAGTCATGGAACATCAGTTATTGCGAGCTGACATAGCTTTGTACAAAGGACGACCTTTTGGACTAATAGTGAAATGATCAAAGAAAAATATGCGAATCACAAAAGCCTTCACACACAAGATATTATTAACTCGATGACCGCATTCCTGTCATCCCTTGACCTCCTTCTTATTTCATCCTTCTCCTCTTTCTTCTACCTTTATATCTGTTAATCAAAATCAAGAAGTGTCACCTAACTTTCGTCCTGTCCGTGCATGCGCTCTTTTATCTTCCATTCAGTCTTACACACATTTCTTCAAATTCCGAATCAGTCCCATTTACCCTCTTTTTAATATGTTTGCAAGCGTTTCATATGTTATATCACCTACCTCCTTTTCTTTACGTCGTGCCATCATAGTTCTCATGCAACTACCACTGAATTCAAAGACATTCCTTTTTTTTCCATTAATGTAGTCAAACTCTCTAAGAGCTCACAAAAAAAATTCGATTATATGTCTTTTCTACAAAATTTTTCATCAAATTTTTGTGTTTTAAAATGTTGTCAGCACTTTTTTCATTAAAATACACGCAGTTCCGCTTTTTAGTTAACGGTTTCCAGAGTCTTATTAACTTTTTATCTATTTGGTAAGTATAAACTAGAAGCATATTTGGTATGGAAGCATAAATCTAGTAATATTAGGTAACAAATTCCGAAATCGGAATTATGACAAAAAATAAATTTGCCAAAAGTTTACTTGTGCTATTCGATCCAATAACCCAAGCATATTCACTGCAAGTAGAAGCTTCAACTGAAGGTGCGTGTGATAAACGGTACTGTTATTTCCTTATTGCTGTTGGCTTCGCATATTTTCAGCGTCACCTGTGTCCATTTTATTGATATATGTTTACCTTATCGCTGATAGCTACATTATTCGCGACCGTTACTGTAGATAGCTTAATATTGTACTATCCTGTTTATCCAAATTATGTTATACCTAAGCATCTGCAGAATTTTGAAAGAAACGCTCCACCGAGGTTTGCATTTGCATTTCCATTTCCATTTATTCTATGGTGTTTTAATTCAAGAAAAAAAAAGCAAATTTTTATGAATCGTTGTCATTGAGGGCATTTAAATTCAGCATGTTTCTATTCAGTAATGAAAGAACTTTAAAATCTTCATGAATTCCAGAGGTTTTGTCAGGGATCCAGATATGCCGTCTTCCGGTATAGTGTTTCTCAGAAAAAATTTACAACAAAGGCTCCTTAATTTTCCAGGTACATAGACATAGAATTCTTAGCTTTTTTCTTTTCCAATTATTCCATCAGTTATAAACAATTTGATATTATTATTTTTTATCCAGAAAACATAGAAAATTGATTTACTACAAATTTATTTTTTACTCTTCACTGATAGGACTTATTATTTTAAAGTGATCTTGTTTACAAGGTCCCTACTTTCATTCATTTTGTTCTTAAAACTAAACTCAAGCAAATTTGACATGGAAACCGGAAATTGATACCAGCATAGGAGCCACTTTTGCTGCATGTCCTCACTTCCACTTTTGCTGTATGTTCTCACTTCCACTTTTTTCGGACTATGTCACTATCTGGTTTGTTCTGAGGACCAGAGTGAACGAAAGAAAATTAAATTACTTGCAACTATTAGCAGTTGTCACCAACTGAGTCATAGTCATATTCATGTAGTAATCACAGGACAGAGAATGTCATTTATAAAAATATTTTGCAGCTGTTGAATCAAATCTGCATGAAAACAACAATCGACAAAAGCTTCATTCAGGTCGAAGTTACTTTGGGCAACAAAAACTGGGAGCAATTAATAAGCCTATCATTGCTGCGAACAGCAAAGTGAGCGATTATCTTTCTGATTAAGAAATATTTTGAAGTTTTTCTTCTCTTTGAAATCTCAATCAGACTTTAAACCGCGCTTAAATTAGTTTTTGCAATTGAAAACAATATTCGATTACAACTGAAATGATTTCAAAAGCTATTTTCTGAGATTGTTCATTGATTCTCTCTAAAACAAACGAAAAGTTCATAGATTCACAAAAATTTTGCTAATTTTAATAAAGCATTCGGTTTCTAACAAGTTCATTATGATTTGGATGAGATATTAATAAACATTTATCAATTGATGTTGGTATCATAAAGAAGATGGCTCTAACTAATTAATTCTTCGTGCAGTAAAGTTCGTCTGAGCAATGTTAGGTGAAGTAATATAATCGCAACACGTAGCTAAGCAAATTAAGTATGATGATGTAATATCGGCGAATAAAAATTGTAATAAAAGCAGTAATTTAAGGAGGGAAGTAGTACGGAATTTTTCGGATAATTATTTCATCTTATAGAGTGTCTCTATCCTAGAAGACATCAGTACTACCTCTCTTTCCAGTTGACACGATTTCACCACAGATGAGTTGTTATTACATAACCGATATTTCTATAAATTAAAACAAATAAGAAACAGTTTTAAATTGAAACTTAAAAAGGAATAGATGCAAGGTTGAATTGAAGCAGAATCAAGGGTGCAGTTGAAAAATAAGCCAAAGAAAGATATCCGGGATAGATGAATTAAATAATATTATAATTTATTTCAGCTATCGAAGAACATGCCCTCTCGATTTTACGCTGTTTTCGATTCCAAATCGAAGCAATTCGTGACAAGCAGTGAATCGAGATCATCAAGATGGGATGAAAACGGTATTTTTTTTTTTTTTTTTTTTAAAACGGTGTTATTTCAATTTTTTTTTTCTCGTCCTATCCCAAGCATATGCGATACTATTTGTTGTTGATTTTCTTCTGTAACATCTATCTAAGTGATTGCAAGCAATTAATGTTCCAAAGGAACTGAATGGCCAGTGATTGATTCCATTAAAATGATTATGAGACAATTTAGTATTTTCTGAGGGTTTTTTTTTAGGGATAAGAAATTTATTTAATATTAAGAATGCAATTAATGGTTCTGGTTTTAGATGATAATGAAGCAGCATCAATATCAATGCCATATTATGAAGGGACTGCTCAACAAATCTTACCTGAAAAAGGCGCGAAAGTTGCATTATTTAACTCGCTTACTGAGAAGCTAAGAACCAGATCGTCGACTTCGTTTGGGTCAGATCAAAGACTAGAATCTGTCATTTCCAGAATACCTGATACTGAGACTTCAAATCGGTTCAACTCAGGGTTTAAAATATCTGTAATCGATAGTGACGCAGTTATCAAACCACGGAAACTTTACTCACTACTGCTTTAGCATGAAATGATGCATGCAAATCTTAGCATTTTATCTCAGATAATAAAGTCCCAACCAGGTGAGTTATTATTTTCCCGTTGTTAAAAAATTTCTTTTTTCTTCGATTAAATAGTATTACGACTTCACTGCTTTGTAACTAATGCTACGCTAGAATATTTTATTCAAAAGAACAGAAGCTTGTGAAAATTTCCTTCTATCTTTGAAACTAATTACTCCAGAATTTGTTGCACCACTTTTGATTACAGCTCATTCACCTTAATATAGTCGTATTATAATTCCGTTTTCCCGTTTCTCATAGATGTTTTCTTTCTGGTACTCCGAATATCTTTGTTAGATTCACTAATTTGAATCACTTAGAAATACTATTCAGTTGAACTTGTACTTTTTTAATTACGTACGAATAATTCTGTATCCTGTATAATTTGCATCAGCCATTATTTTTCTTACTGAATCATAGTTAAATACTATTGAAAATAATACTGAAGCTGATGACATTCCCCATCCATGGTGAATTATAAACTCCCAAACTATATGTTGAAAAAGCTCATCAATAAGCGAAAATCAACATAGGTCGATTTTAGTAGATGAACAAAATCAAGCTTGACAGAGTGTCGAGAACCTCGAAATAACTTATAATAATATATCTAAATAATAAAATAATTTATATTGTGAACATCTTTTACTCAAATGATCATTCGCATAAATTGTAATTTAATAAGTGTTAGAATGTCTAGCGTGACATTAGGCTAATTCCTCCCTTTTTTTTTTTTTAATTACCATGCTTTTCTCCAATAGTTAAATTACCGGAAATAAAAACATATGCAAATGCTTCCGATCTGATAATATCGCGTTTCAGCCACGCTATAATAAGACCAGACTTTTTTGGATTATATTACAATATGCTTTTGTAAATTACCCAATATATCTTGTGTGAATTGGTTACCAGGCTGTCTCTAAAGACTTCCTTTGAACACCTTGACGATTCTCCTAAACTACGGCTAAATTACGAAGTCCTATTCAAAATCAGAAACAATTCCTTCAAATTATCTTTATTCTCTTTTGATTAAGAATTATAATATATCATCCGTCTTGCACAAAAAAATCTATATAACAAGTTTTGTTTATGAAATACCAAACTATTCAAACAAAAGTTTTCGACAGAATCCCTTTCTCGAGAAACATTTAACAAATTACCATAAATAAAACAGATAAATGTAATTTGTAATAAATTAAAAAAGTCATTGATTTATTCAAAGCAGTACATTAATCTTTGACTGAAATCATGAGATCATCTTACGTATTGCCTAGACGTCCTTTACATTTTTAAAACAACTGAATTGTCATTTCTTTTCAGGGAGCATTATTAACGATATTGATATTGCCGCTATTTGCTTTTTTTCAAAATTTCTGCTTTTTTATGCCAGACCACGTAATTAATTAATCCTTCACTACCAAAACGTAACAATGTTATTCGTCATTTTCAGCCGACAGCAAGTTACATTTAGATTTTTTCTATTCACGCAAATCTTTTATTAAATTTGAAAATCATTAAAACATTATGCGAATTGTACATCAATGGGTAGCAAAAGCATTTCAAAGAAAAAAGTAATATAAAATAAAAAGTAAAATAAAAGTAACATATTCTATTATATCCATAAATGCATTATTGCCGTAAGTGTTACGTACATTCTCTGCAGAAAATGCCATACTGGTACACTCGTACACGTTGCTGAAATCAATAATGCCTTATAAAAATTTATATTATAGATTTTCCCTAACTCTACATTTAGAAACGCAACTATTACGAAGACATCTGATACATAACTGCTTCAAGACTTGTTCAATGTTTATCAAGGCAAATGATAACCCAATACTTCACTGAGTACTGTTAAATTATATCGGAATAAGAGTCATAATATTATGACAAATGTTGAGAAACTGCGTCCAGTAGACACTTTCTACATCTATAGTTAAGTTTGACCTTCGTTTCTCCTTCAGTTGAATAATTGTCCTATGAAATTCTACTAACCGTGACGTAGTGAATATTTTCCCGGCAGTAAGATTGATTGATGACAACTCATCTGAGTTATTAATAATTAACCATTTAAATAATTATGCTGTTAACATTTTTAGGAACGAACTTCATGTGTAAGTAGCTTACGTAGTAGCCTTATTATTAGATGCAGTATACCAGATTATCAATCGAATAACTTGCAGAAGGTGTCATGAATTTGTCTTGAAAGGTTCTGACAACAACCAGGAATTTAAAGCGTTTACCTTGATTGTAGAAAGCTAGTTCAATTAATGCATAATATCCACTGTCCCGATATACTTTACTATTGTTAGTAATATAGTAACAGTGGTGTTATCTGCTGACCGTGGGAACGAAATTATTGGCGTCCGCTATGCTCAGTGTATGAAATTGGAGTTAGATTGAATCTTTGCTGATATAAATTTTTAAGATGAAAAATACCAAAAGATAGAGTAGCCAGGGAAAAAGAGTATTTTTTCATTATTATCGGTTTCCTTTTTGGGAAAAAAGAGATTACATATTAATTTTTTCTTCCGTTGTTTATTAATATGTGTTAAGAATTGGAGTGGTTTATAACAAACATTACAACGGATGCTGCATCTGGATACATAAAAATTGTAAAGATTCAATTACAGTACAAGAACTGTTACAGAATCGAATAGGAAAATGAGTATGCAAATTTAGTTAAATCATGATAATAAACAAAAGCATGAGAAATGAATCTGAAGGATCTAAAATTAGTCAAGTGGTTCATAAAATTGTTAACATTTATTTATAATTTGAATGGTTAATTTTTTTAATGAATTTATTTTATTTAGAGCTTCGCGAAATTGAAATTCGTGACAGATGTTAGCACGTAATTAATTGGAAAAAAAATTAATATGAACTACTTGCTGACAATTTTCGTCTTTTTCTCCTTATACGCTCTGTCTTACGTTGCTTATAATTTTCAACATTATAAAACCCAACTTTTTTTTCCAATGGTAGTGAAATCTCTCTAACTGAACCTAAACAATTTACAACACATTCATCAATATCACTAACTGATTCGAGATAGCCATCATCCAATCTTCCGAAAACAACTGATGACCTACAAATTCGTAAAAATAAGCATATACTTCGAAAAATAAATAAACCAAAATTGGGAGGACAGGCAATACCGTTTAAACTAAAAAAAAAAAAAAAAAAACTGTTACAGAAAATTACTTTGTAATACCAAAAACAAAAATTCCATTTTCTTCTACAGTAATGTCGATAACAAAGTCCGAACAAGTTAAGCATTCGATTTTGAAATCATTATTTTCTTGAAAGAAGGTAACGATTTGTGCTGTTTTACAATGTTCGAAAATCACAGCCAATTTTATGCCCTGTAAGTAATTACATAGCTTATTGGATGCCTACAAGTTTCGAAGCTTAACAATAATTTATTTGTTAAGGCAATAAATTAAAAAGCGAAAAACGTACCGAGCAGAATTCAGAATAACAATGGCAACATATGACACGAAAAGGGAGAATAACGAAAATTGTCAACCAACACAACAGACAAAAAGTAATATGCAAGGTATTTCTTGAAAAACAAAAGACTTCAAAAAACTTTTGATTCCCAAAATTTTGGTTTTAATTTTGTTGTGTTTTGCAAAAAGATAATATTAGATCAGTTAAGCCAGTTAAGATGAAAATACCTTCGAAGAGTAATTCGGAAACATCTTACAACGACGAATCGCCCTTTTCTCAAGGCAATTGCACTGGGCAACTTGCTTTCCATCATCTCTATTCCAAACTCTTAAAGTACCGTCACCACCTACAATTCTTTAACTGAACGAACATTTGAGTGATTTACATCAAATTTATCTAAAAAAAGTAACTGTTATCACAACAACTATATCGAATAATTGTTATCACACAAAAACAAAACAAATAAAAACTACTACCACATCCAGTTTCGTAACACTAGAATAACAATCTACCTGAAGAGAAAAGCAACGTGTCCTTTGACTGAATCGAACTGACGTATGAGCTATGACCCAAACAAAAGCGATGTATGACATAACATTCAGGATAATGCGAAATACGAATTTTCTCGTCACGGTCAACACTTGTCAAGAACCTTCGGTCATTTGACATATCAATATCCAGGACCATCGATACATGACCTAGCAGAAGTTCACCTTCACAATTTCCTTCATCTGAAAACTAAAGGAAACAATAATGCACGACATAATAACTTGATTCCAGAATATGATTTAAAGCTAAAATAGAAAGATACGCGAGCTTTCTTAAATCATTTAAAATTATAGATGTAAAAGCCTAACTATCAGTGAATTCATCGTTCTTTCCTGAATTTTCTGCGTACAAGCTATAGCGACGAACATTACCCGCTCGATCAGAAACAATTACAAATTTTTCCGAAATATCCAAAATCACGGCTGTTGGTGCTTTTGGCAGTTGCAGCGCTGGACGTACTTCTATCCAGTCTTTTAAAATATTATATAGGAAACATTCTTTTGATGTAGTAGCGACCGCGAATAACGTGCCATCGTTACTCAGTGTACTTGCCAGAATCTCAAAATGTTTTTGCCATGATTTTAGTATTCATTTCTATCAACCACTTCAGGTTTTCCAAAAAAAAAAAACGAACAGTACACGATTAAGGCAAACTGAAACAGTCCAAATTTGAGTACTCATTTTTCTCCCTGATTAGAAATTCGAAAACAGACTTAAGCAACAAAGATATGAAACTCTTAAATGGAAACACCCATTAGTTGTGCAAATACTAATGGGTGTTTCCATTTAAGCATTTCTAATTCTAAATACAATGACGTGAAGCATGCTGAAAACAGCAGAAGATGAGACAGACCAATATCTTAAAGATATAGTCATTGTCCAATTATTTATAATTTAGTACCAGCAAATTAAGAAACCTATAGACAAATCATTCACCTGATCTTTCTCTTTTCGAGTTGCGGTGCCCTTAAATGGCACTAAAATATCACGGCAGAGTTTCAGCTTCGAAGAAATGCTATCAATTGTGAAAGCAAATTCGAAAATATTTCTTCCCGCAGCAATGTATAATCTGCCATTGTGGCAATGAATCTGAGCCATTTATTGTAGATACAACCCTAAGGATTCAAAGAATTAATTCAAAAGAAATGATAACATTAGTGTGCAAATACGAAACAGTACAAATTTTGGAGTGAGATGGACTTCTCTTCACAAAACTAAAAACTGTGTCGCGTGTCGCAATCCTATTAACACAGATTAGTTAGCAGATTCATAGCTATGCCACACAAATCTTTAGTTCCGCTTCTATCAGTACAACAACAAGAATGACATATAAAGTAACAAAGTGACAAAGAACAGCAACGAGAGAGGAAGAGAGAGTTTGAAGTGAAGAGACACTAGCTAGTGAGATAGTTTAACAATAGCGTGGCTTCAGAGATTAAAGATGGAAATGAAATAATCAGTATTGGTATGAGAGGACAACATGAATCATCGCGGAGTGTTCCCTCTTCTCTCGTTCGTTCACTGTGAGTCCGTGAAAGACAATACAGGTGACAGGTCATGAGAGATAAGCAGTTGACAAATGAAGTTTTAGGGCAGTAGAGAACAATGAGGTCATCTGTACTCAGACTCTGTGCAAAGGTCAATCAGGCAACTCTCCAAGTAAGTAGGAAGAATTTGTTCCGGATATGTGGTACTATTGTGGTCGCAGAAATAGTGCTTGCTGCGTATGTTGAGTAAGTTCATTTCTGGTTGAAATTGGACAGGGGGAAATGTTTAAAGAGATCTATTTAATAAATGACAGGTATATTTCCGAGAGGCATTAATAACATATATATCTCGAATAGTTTCATACAAAATTTTAAAGAAATAGTTTCTCTTCCAGTGAGGTATATTGAGCAGATTGCAGCGTAAAAAATTGTTAAAACTAGAAGTGCTATACTCAGAGACATCTTTTTTAAACAATTTTTTTGCTATCGCTGGTGATTTCTGATAAATTCTCATGCAATTTAAGAAACATGAACAATTTAGAGAGTTTGCTCTGCCAACTCCAGATATGGTGTACGATTTCCACATGAAATTTTCTCGAGAATTTGCTGATTTCGCAGTGGGCAACAAATATGGCGCTAAAACTTCTCGTCATATTGGTGACAAGTAAAAGATCAGAACTGATTAAATTTGGAATTATGTTACATTTCTTTCAATACAATTTCTAATATAAATACAATGCAATTTCTAATATAAATTGATTGGTTGTGAAGCATTGGAGTTCAAATAAAAAAAAAAAGTTAATTCAACACGAAGGTGTGTCACAAAACTCTCATATAAAAAGGAAAAGGTCCAAAAGCATGGACTTTGAAATATCAATTTTACCTTTGCATTTTTTAATAGGTGATATGCGATGGATTTAACCACAAAAAGAAGTCAAACTCATGAAGTCACTGAGTACAGCAACAGGAAGGAATTGATTAATCATGTTTTAATAAATATGGTGACCTGTTAACACCATGTATTTCCTGTGCTTAATAATGTAAGACAACTATTAGGAAGCAAATGGAACATTTTTAAAGAAATCAATTATAGAGTTATCGGTGTCAGACAGATCTATCTATTCTCTGCATAAATCCTTTACCGTATTTTACACCTACCTTTTCAGAGAACGATGAATTTCTCTTCTATTTTGTAGAAGATACCATTCGGTGTACAGGAATGCTATGAATTTGACACTTCATTATTTCTCACTTCTTCAGTAGCAGTGACTTGTTTTTTACTTTTTCTAATAACGGGAGAGAATTTTTATGTTTAAGGTTATTATGCCTATTGCAGAAACACGGTCACTAGTTCATTTTCATGAAGGTAGTCTGGGGATCTACAAGTACTTGGTAATTATGACCAGAAAGGTACTGGATTTCCGATTCTTTTTGGAAATATCAGTTACTGCATCTTCTACTATCCTTGACACTTACAGTTTACTATATACTAAAATATGCCTGATAATTAAAGGTATTACATGGGAATAAATTTGAGCGAAACACGGAAAGGGATGGTTTTCATGATTTCTGGACATAGGGAAATGCGATGCGTTTAGCCAGGTTATGAGTCTTGTTCAGTCACACAGAATGTAAGAAACACATTAATTGACTAGTTTCACAAGTCTCACCTCTTAAGAGATTATAATTTTCACTGTGTCTGGCAGGATGATGCGAGTGTTAGAATAACTGGGCCATGCTATGGAGACTGGATCTGGATGGCCAGAAGATGTGGGTAAAGTTAAGTGGTGTCGTTTCAGGATTGTTATACCCGCGGATGTTCTCTAACTTCCTTGAATGGAATATCTATATACTACCATGCTCATGTATTATATTACTGCGTAGATAGGTTTATAAATTGATGCTATTGACTCATATTTAAGAAGTATATCTGCTTGGTAGTGAGTTGTTATTCTGCCCGAAACGTATTTATATATATTTGCTGTTTAACTGAATACTATGTTGTATAATAATATTTTGCATGCTATAAGTTGAAGTGGATATTTGCTGTCATTTTTAATTTCAAATTCGTACAAATTGTATGTGAAGCAAATTTCAGGTATTATCAGTGCGCGTGTGTGGCAAGATAGTGTAAGACTAATCAGAATGGCGCCTCCGGGACAGTCAAGTAGCCAACCGTTACCTTCTAAGGAGCTTACTCTTTTCCGTAAAGTTGTTGTGCGTTCTCTTTAATCTTAGTACTTTTTAGTCAACAGTGTTCAGTTTAAAAGTAGAATATTAAGTTGTGTGTACGAAAAAAAAGAGAACCTTAGGGGAGGAACTGAAGATCAGGAAGAAAATCTAAACAAGATAAATTGGTAGATTGAAGGATAAGACTAATTTTTAAAGAATAACCATATTGCTCCTAATTGGAATTGTTAACTTCATATCAATAAAAAATTTCATGTTATGCTTTATTTGATTGCAGAAGCACTATGAGCATAAGCAGTACAAGAATGGCCTTCGATGCGCTAAGATGATTCTCTCAAATCCACAGTTCAGTGAACATGGAGGTTGAATTACTTTTATTTAGTTAGCGTCATGAATGGCTTGGTTCTTTTACATGAAGTTTAAGTATATAAAAGTTTACAGAAGTGCAAAATAATTTAATTTAGAGACTTTGGCGATGAAGGGTTTGATTTTGAATTGTATGGGGAAGCATGAAGAAGCGCAGGAGTGCGTCAAACGAGGCTTAAAGGTTATTCATACTATTTATTGTGACAAACTAACAAATGTATTTTCTATTTAGTTGCAAGATTTCTAGCAGCGATCAACTATCGATTGCAGGCTGACCTTCGATCACATGTCTGTTGGCATGTCTTCGGTTTGGTGCAACGTAGCGAGAAGAAATATGATGAGGCGATGAAGGCGTATAAGCAGGCGTTACGATTAGATCGTGACAATATGCAAATACTCAGGGATTTATCATTACTACAAATTCAAATGCGAGATTTAGACGGGTATCGCGTAAGTCTTTTCATGTTCTACCTTGAGAAAACAAAGATTTTTGTGTTTCTTTTTTTGAATGAAAACTCTTATTTATGTTCTTAATAGTCACTGATCAGTTCTTTCCTGATATTCGCTACATTTCACACAGCGCCTTTTATTCGACAAACTTAAAGTTATGATCATCTCCGGCTCATTTTGTACCTGTATTTATGACTTTTTCTTCCATAGGTTCTAGTGTTCAATTTCTTACCTGGACCTGTTCCTGTCTTTCGATTGCCACCGTGCATTTATACCATGATTCTTTTCGATTTTGTATTTCCCCAAGATTTGAACTGAGTTGAAAGTAAGAAGTAAAATGGGAAGATAAGCGATGCGACAGCAACTCACGATATCTGGAAATTCCATAAAAAAATTTTGCACTCTTTTGATGAAACCCGCAAAACTTTTTCAGGATTCGCGTTATCGACTGCTTATGCTGCGTCCTCAACAACGCATTGCATGGATTGGTTATGCGACAGCATATCATCTTCTCAAGGACTACGATATGGCTCTAAAAATTGTCAGCGAGTTTTGCAACAATAATAGGGTTGAGGTTTCTGTATTTTCTTGGACTTGTAATTGATTTGAAATCCGATTATTTTATCGCAAAATCTTACTCCAGTTTTTTCTAGTTCGTAAGAATATGTTTTATTATTTGCCACGACGATTTATATTTACAAAATAAATGAAATCCAGTTATTTGTCAAGAAAATCATTGAATAAGACAACTGCTTTTTGGGACGTAATATTTTTATGGTTTGCTTTATTCGACATTCAGATCAGTGTTTGCTACCAAAAAAGACTACTTTATGTTTAGAAATACTTTGAGGTCTTTATATATTTATATACTTTTGAAATCTTATGGTCTTTATATGAAATACTTTTAATATTTTAAATGCTTTAACATTCTTATGTCTTTCTAATCAAGAATTTCCCCAGCTACCGGAGTACGATTTCGAGCAGAGTGAACTAATCCTATATCAGAACATGATTCTTCGCGAATCTGGTCAGTTAGAATTGGCACTGAACAGATTAGAGGAAAACGCATCACAAATTGTTGATCGCGTTGCTTATATGGAAACGCGTGGTAAGTTGGTTGAAATATTGGCTAAAAAGGTTAAGATGAAATTTACATATTGTGAATACATCACTTTCTGGATGTTATAGCGGATCTCTTGATGGCTTTGAACGATAATGCAAAGGCAGAAATGACGTATTGGAAACTGATTGAAAGAAATCCAGAGAATATTATATATTATCATCAGATCGAGAAATGCAGAGGATTGGGTATCGATTCTTTTAACTATATTCAAAATTTAGTGGCGAAATTCTTCAATTTACATGTATAACGTAAAAATTCTGCAGCAGAAAGCGATGTCGAGGGACGTTATGAGGTCTATAAGAAGGCTGTTTCAATGAATTCTCATGCAGCCACTCCGAAAAGAGTTCCTCTTTATTTCCTCCGCGGTATTTCTTTATATTTTATAGCTAAAGTATCTTAAATCATATTTTGGGCGTCATGGCTTTGTGGTATTTGGTTTAATTACACATTTCAGGTGCCCAGTTTGAAAGTTTATTGTTCAGTTATTTGATAGCCGGTCTTCGAAAAGGCGTGCCTTCACTTTTCAAATATCTTATCCCGCTTTACGTAGACAGCGATAAGGTTGAATATAAATATTTCATCTCAAATTCTCTTTTGTTTTATTTATTATATCTCTACAGCTATTCCTAACTCCTTTACAATATGTGGAGTGATAAATAATGGTGGCTTCCAGTTAACAATATGAATTGTTTAAGGGATACTGATATAAGATTCTTTAAGCTCGAATATTCTCAGAAGTATAAATCTTTCCTTTGAAAATGCGGATGGTAGGAAACATTTAGAATCCTGTTAGAATGTATTATATTTATAATTTTGAACTATCGAGTTTTTGAACACTATGAATAAAATAGGGTGCCATTTGTTGAAAATATCTTTTACATTATTTTGTCATTTCTTATTTGGTTTACTAAAAATTATGAGGAATGTTTTAATCCTTCACATTTTTAGGTCCAATTTTTGGAGCGTACGCTCATCGAATTCGTTAAACGGTTAGGGGAAAACGGGTATAAGAAAGGATCTTTGGACAGTTGGTTTCATTTATTTTTTGGGCTTACAATAGATTAATAATTTTAAGATTTCAAATATTAAATAAATATTTGGCATCAACTAATTTAAGAATTTTATAGATAGTCCTCTTCCGGAATCACCAACGACGGTATTATGGTTGTATTACTTATTAGCTCAACATTATGACAAATTAGGTTCGGTTCAGCAGGCACTTGTATATATTGATAGAGCAATACAGCATACACCAACACTGATTGAACTCTACATGATAAAAGCAAAAATCCATAAGGTTTGCTTGTTATTACTTTTGTAGTCATCAAAACATCTCAAAAGTTCTCTCCCGATGGATGGCGTGAAACGTACTTTATTCTGTTTGTTTAAAAATTTTTATGACTGTTATGACATGAAATGTTGATGGTGTTGTTGCTGCAGCACTCAGGTGATGCACATGAAGGTGCAAGCTTAATGGAGCAAGCGCAGTCCTTGGATACAGCAGATCGCTATGTGAATAGTAAATGTGCCAAGTACATG